AATCGGTTCGGTTGAAAAATGCCCAGCCCTACTTTTCTCTACCTTTCCTGGGTGAAATTATTGCGATTCAAAAGCTTTCGATCTCTGGGAAGAAGTAAGAAGCCGACAATACCACTATGGGCCGAACGTTTCTTTAATATTTTTTGGTAAAAATTCGAGACATACGTTATGACGGTTATGTGGCTCTTATCCGATATATACACGTGGCAATGATTCATCCTCCGGGGACGACCTGGCTGAGCCGTCCAAGCACCGGTCCACCGGTTGCTAGGATCAGCGAAAATTCCAAAGAACCCACTGGCGAAGATCCGTGGCCAGCCCTTCATCTAATTGACTATAAAAGTTTCAACCCCTCAACTTACAATATAAAATTTTCAACCCCTCATCTTTTTGATCTAGATGAAAAAACCCAAAATAAATGGTAAATGGTTACATGCATCATGTGCTCATTAAAACTTTGTGACCATTGCCATGTAATCACCAATGTGGCAATTCCTTTTCATCATGAACTACCACCATGAATAATAAAAGTGAAAAAGCTCCTATCACTTTTAATCTCACAATAAAAAAGTTCGAATTAATACATTAAAATATTGAATCAAAATGAAATTCACATGAATAAATCCCCCATAATATACAACAACATAATGTAACTTGCCTTCTTCAATTGCTTTTTTACTAACAAATCTACTTACTAATGATGATATTAAGTACAAATTTAAATTAACAAATACATAATTCATTTTTAATTAACACTAATCCTTTTATATCATTTGTTTGTTTGTTAATATTCACTAATAGAGATTACTAAAACCTAAGACAAATCAAAAACATCAATTAAGAACAATACTTGTCAAACTTGTGGTCCAACAATAGAGGATTCATCTTTCTTGTTGTAATCCCTTCAACCTTTTTAAAGATTTTTTTGATGAATTCAACCCACATTCTCTTGATTGGTGAGGAGGGTAAAGTGATATTCTTGTCTAAAGTTATAGAGAACAAACGAATACTTTTCCTTGTGTATATCACTTTCTAAGGCTTAGTTTGATAATACTAGCCTATAGTTACAACAATATGTTTTTTGGTTCTTTAATATTTCAAATATATATAAAGTATATTTTATATATTTTATATTTATTTTAATTGATATTTTATATATTTTTAAAATAATAAAAAGATATAAAAACTAAAAAGTAAAATATTAAGAAGTATTTTCAAACGAAACCTAAATTTCTTTTTAAATTCCTTTTAACTTTAATTCTATTTAGCTAATAACCACTATTGTCCATGATAACAGTTCATGATAAAAAGGAATTGCCTTATTAGTGATTATATGGCAATGGATAATACAGTTTTAATGAGCATGCAACTATTTGTTGTTCGTTTTAGGTTTTTTCATTTGACTTAAAAATCTAAAAAGTTAAAAGTTTCATGTTATAAATTGAGGGATTAACACTTTCATAGCTAGTGAAGTGGAGAGCTGGGCACGGATTTTCACCAAAACCCACTAAATCATTATTTACAGGCTGTCGCCCAATCACCTTCCAAAATTACACTTTCCTTACCCACATTATCACCGGCAACCGGCTACACCGGGCCACCCGGCCCACCCCCACTATACTCTCCAGATATAAGTAGCAGAGTACGCTGCGAGGCGGAAAATCAGTATTTGCAGAGAGATACTGCTCCACCTCCGCTCTTGGCCGCTAGCGTTTCGCTTCATCACGAGCAGAAGACGGTAACAACATGCCGATCAGAAACATCACCGTCGGCTGGCCCGGGGAGACCAGGCATCCGGATGCTCTGAAGGCAGCCTTGGCTGAGTTCATATCCACCTTGATCTTCGTTTTCGCCGGAGAAGGTTCCGGCATGGCCTTTAACAAGCTCACGGACAACGGCTCCACCACTCCGTCCGGCCTTGTCGCAGCCGCGCTGGCTCACGGTTTCGGTCTTTTCGTGGCCGTCTCCATTAGCTACAACATCTCTGGCGGCCACGTCAACCCGGCCGTCACCTTTGGAGCCTTCCTCGGCGGAAACATCACTCTCTTCCGTGGCATCCTCTACTGGATCGCCCAGCTTCTAGGTTCAACCGTCGCTTGCTTGCTCCTCAAGCTTGGCACCAACGGCATGGTGAGTTCATCGTTCCAAAGTCTACAGAAAAAATGTTTTGCAGTTCAGAAAACGTGAAGCGTCCACGTTTTGTATAGAGCTGTTTTTTGTTTAGAGTTTATTTATTTCGATTTTGTACGGATTTTTTGGGTTTTAAATTGAATTTATTACTGTGCTTCGCAGACTACGTCGGCTTTTTCACTGTCATCCGGCGTTGGCGTATGGAACGCGTTCGTTCTAGAGATCGTGATGACCTTCGGGTTGGTCTACACCGTCTACGCCACCGCAATCGATCCCAAGAGGGGAAATATAGACATTATTGCACCAATCGCAATCGGTTTCATCGTGGGTGCCAACATTCTGGCCGGCGGTGCGTTCGACGGAGCATCCATGAATCCGGCCGTGTCATTCGGACCCGCCTTGGTGAGCTGGAACTGGGAAAACCACTGGGTGTACTGGGCCGGGCCTCTCGTCGGAGGTGGTATCGCTGGGTTGGTCTACGACCTCTTCTTCATCACCCACGCCGGCTACGAGCAGCACCCCACCGCTGATAATTGCTGAGCAGATTTTTTCCGGTGTATGATAAGAGCTTTGGCTGTTATCTCTGTGTTGAATTAGTGATCGTTGTTCTTTTTCTTTGATCATCCTGGATGTTGTTTTTGGGTGTGATCAACTGGGACCAGGGAAATTATTGTGTTTGTTTTGCCCGTTTGCAACTTCCTTTTCATGCAGCTTTTATTGCATTTTAACTTTTATGGGATTTCTTTTTCTTGCATTTATAAACTTCAAAGTGGCAATTTCAGGGAAAATGAAAATTGTGCCATCTTTAGACATTGAATTGGACAACTAAAATTTAATTTATTTGGTCTTTTATGGTATATACAAAGGGAAAAAGCTCACGGTTTTGGGGCACATGGTAATGCGCAATGCAATAGGTTATGAATGACCTCATGTTTTCTATCTAAACTCACTCTCACCTGCACAGGCTGGATTTTGAGGTCCCCCTTCTACCCCCACTCCTACTAGCATGTAAACGAGTAAAATTAAGCTCAGTAACTTATTGTTTAAGCTTACATTTGAAGCTACGATTATGAGCTCGAGTTGAGCGTGATAGAACTTAAGCTTCAAAATATACAAGCAAGCTTAATAGACCACAATTTAATAGACCATAAGAAGAAAAAGTGTAGATAAAGATGTAAATTTTGTAATTTTTTATTTAAAAATATAAATTTTGTTAATTTTTAAGTAAGATAATAAATATTTAATTTTTTTATATAAAGATATCAATTTTACATTTGTCATATCAGTATTATCATTTAATTAATTTTTAAAATTACAAAAAAATTAATATTTTAAATAAAAATTAAAAATTTATAGTCTTAATTAAAAATTGACAAAATTTACATCTTTATATAAAAAAAATTACAAAGTTAATTTCTTTATTTACATATTTTCACAACCATACATGGCTAGCAAGTTTTTTAAAAATAATTTTTAAAATTTGAGTTTAAATTCAAATTACTCACAAGCTTTCAACTTGAATTGAGCTCGAAAATATTTTAGAGTAAATTAAGTTCAAATTGGAGCAATAATCAAGCTCGAGTCGAATAATTCATAAATAACATCATTTTTTACAACCATATTAGTTAGCATATGAATCACTTGTTTAATTTTATTTTTTGAACAATTTACAATTTAGAGAATTGGTAAAAAAGGATTTTTTTAAGTATTGATAATGCTTAAAACTTTGATTAACTAATTCAAACACTTTAAAATTTAAAGATGAATCACTTGAATTTGAAAATTCAATTCAAATCACTTGTTTAATTTAAAGGTAAAGGAATGAAAAAAATTGGAAGGATATCTTAAATAATCAATTTATTTTAAGAGATTCTCAAGGCACGTGAAAATTCAGCAACGAAACAAACCACGAGCAATTTCTTCATGGGGTTTGGCCCATCCCTTGCTCCCATTATTGGATGCTTTCCAAAGTAAGTTCGCTTTCAGCTGAGAAAGTTGAAATTAAAATTCCCTACCTAAATTCGCCTAGATTTGCATCCTTCACCTAGCTAGTTTCATTTGGCGAAGTAGACGAAGAGGATGCGCAGAGAGAAACGGCTACCGCCGTACTGAGATGGCATCAAGATTCAAACACTGAACGTAATGATCAAAAAGCCGTGGTTCACCACATGCTGACTTTATGGCTTTTCAAATTTAAAAGATAGAATCTAATGATGATAGTCGAGTGTTTTTTATGTATGTAGATAAATACATATAAACGGAAGGGCAGAAAGAATAATAAAAAGAAAAATAATTGGTCTATATTTAATTGAATATATATTTGGATATTAATTTTAATTTAATTATTAAAATATACTGTATATATATAAATTTAATTGATTTAATTAGTTTTTATATTATATATATAATTGTATTTTTAATTTTAAATTAAAAATAATAATTTTTTAATAAATATATTATATAATATATTAAATTAAAATATATACAAATTACTATATTATAATATGTGCATGTAAGTTGATTCAGAATATCGTTGAGGAAAAAGGACAGTTGTAAGTTCTTATCATGAGGCCACTTTTATCAAGCTAATGACATGCATGTGGTGCAGTGCTGCAGGGGCATGTGGGGGAGATAAGGTAAAAGGGGGTAAATGGATAAAGATGAAGTTGGCATCTTTGGGAAGTATGATACTCTTTCGATCCCAATTGTACGGGGACAATGACTGGTATAGTTGGGGCGGTGGGACGGAATTAATTTGGTCCACAATTTGGAGTGTGTCACTGACCTTTTGACGGTTTTCGTAA